TGAACTACTGTTTCGCAACCAGTGGTGCAACAAAAACAAATCGCATCCATGACATGGCACGTGGCACGATGGATTGCATATTTATTTGGCATGACACGTGGTCGTGGCTCGTGCAAGCGTGCATGATGAATTTCGCGTGTTCCGAACCGGGTCTTTTCTTAATAAGATATCGCACTGGGCCGAGAATATATTTAGGCCTAGCCTTGGATTTTTTGGGCCTCAACAAACATTACATGATAAGAACGAGCATGTTAATGCTGACCTCATTAAAATCTTCCCAGGGAAAACCACAAGGGATAAAACCCCTGATTATGAAAGAGCACAACACATGCTAATGACTAAATAGAAGAGTCAACAAACCTATTACTTATCGCCATCTAGGAGCCAGGGAGGTCCATCACCCAACCAATAACAAAGCTCCTCCGCTCGAAGACTATAACGTGCAATACGATGAGCCACAATGTTGGCAATGGGACAAAACGAACACAGGAGGACGCCAATGTTGGTTTGAAATTGGCAAAGACCATCGACATTGAGCTTAAAAAAACCAGCTTGAGGAGGACGCCAATGTTGGTCTGAAGTGGGCAAAGAAATACACCTATGAAGTAGTAACTGATATTGATGATATTTTGCAACATAGTTCTTTACACATAAAAGGAGATGCTCTGCATACATAGGATCAGAACCAAAAAGGATAGCATTCCGATCATTCCACAATAGCCACAACACAGTAATAAAAAAGGTTGCTGAGCAATTGGGATTAAATTCCATGCCACCAACAGCCAAGTAGCAGTGTCGTCCAGAGTCAAACCAAGAAAAATTGTCGGCAGTTCTGAAGACTCCCGCATGGGACGAATAGTTGGGAATCTCGTAAGGCATGAACTACTGTTTCGCAACCAGTGGTGCAACAAAAACAAATCGCATCCATGACGATCTTACAATGAAAAAAGACAACTTTTATACTTGCTCTCTAGTTGCGGAAAGAAAATTCAAATTTAGGTGCATCTCGTATTAATTTCTTTTGTGGAATTCACTTTATCCCTAATATCAAAAAGTTAGCATCTCGTATCAATTTGTTATGTGGAGTTGACTTGCCGCCTACTTGTGAATTGAGCCATGGTGCTTAGTAAAGTTGGAAGGTTTAAGAAACTCATTTTCAAGTTCCAATTAATTATATAAAAAAAAAGTAATATTTTTTCTATAAAATATATAGAAAATCTCTACTGGGAAAGAAAAAAGGTTCTACACTAAAGTGGTTTTACGGTGGCCCAAGTGGGGTGCCACGTCTTTTTATGGAAAACGTACAAGTGCTTGGTCCAAATTGCGATGGGGGTGAGGGTGACGATCGATCTCCATCTCCAAGCCTTCTATAAAAGGCAACATTTCATCCCTTTTTCTTCATTGTAGGCTCATTCATTCATAGCAAATTAGCAATCCTGTATCTTCTTTTTCTCAGGCGGGACACATCTCCAGTTTGTGCGTGAATCGAACCCCATCACAGCCGTCCATCTTTATGATCACGCTGTCAACTCAATCCAATGGTGTTAGATTCACGCACAAACTCGTGATATGTCTCCTCTTTATAACACTGCCGTATTTCTCTTATTTCCCTTTTTTTTTCTTTTTCTTTTTGTTTTCCCGTTACTTTTCGTTCCAAAAATTAAAAAAACCATTCCTTTTGGCGCCAATTCGGATTACATTTTCCCTCTCAATTAATCTGTTCACTCACAGTCACAGACTCACAGTAAGAGAAGACATTCGAATTAGCGAGCAGAGAAAAAATCCCGGGAATTCTGATGGCTTCAGCTTCGGATTTAGGGTCAACGGATGATTACGAGGCGTTGATGTCGATGACCGATGTGGAGCTTTTGAAGAGCGCGTGGCGGCAAGAGAAGGCCGCTCCGGAGATTCTTCAGTTCGAGAGTCGTTTGATTAAGAGAGTCAGAGAGCAGATCCAACTGATGGTAAATTCCCCGAAACTCAAAAACAGGGAAGGAAAAAAAAACCCTAATTCCCTTGTTTGGTTCCTCAGAAATTGATAGGAAAATTCAATTTCACGGTGGAAATTTCTAATCTAACTTTCCTGCTTATTTTGTATTGTATATGTACCGTAAAACAATCAGGATTTTAGTTGAAATGATGACTACCTGAGAAAAATTACTAGTGCTTTTTTCTTATTTATTTATTTATTTTATATTTATAATTCTGAAATTTGAAAAGAAAATGTTTAGTTTAGGATCTCAATTAGGTTGGAAAGGGTGCTAGATGCTATTATTGGGTGGCAAACAAGCTTTTGCAAGTAGATGAAATGCTTGTGCTAGTATTATTTGCGGTTGTGTTATTGCTCACTCCAATTAGATGCATATAATTACAGGAAGAAACCGTGGAGGAATTTACTGAAAGTGGTTTTGATCCACTTACTGTGTCACTCTACCAGATGGATTTGGACAGGACTCAGTTCTTGTTGAGATCTTATCTACGAATTCGTTTGCAGAAGGTGGCCATCTTCTCTCCTTGTTTTGTTAATTTGTGCATGCTTGTTTTTTCATTGCATTTGAAATCAACTGTCTGGTTCTTTGATTATATTTTTGGTATTAGAGAAACAGGAGCACTCACCATGTTTGATGATAATTTGATCAAAAGAAAGTCCAATAGTGAATTCTAAGTTGCTTGCTCTGAGTATTATGAAATTGCCCGAAAATTTTCCACTGGTTTTAGATGTTAAATGCGACAAGGTTTCTCAAGAACATGTTGGTTGAACTTTGCTGTTCGTATTTCAAGTAACTTCCTTTTGCAGATTGAGAAATACATGTTTCACATCTTTGCTACTGCTGAACTTCTAACACGTCTATCTAAAGAGGAGAAGTGGTTTATTGAAAGGTGAGGACTCTAGCTGTTTTATTAGTTTGTGCTCGTTTAGTTACAGCACATAGTTTAGGTTTATTGTGGTTTAGAGTTGACATGGTTATTGCTTACAGGTGCTGTGTTGATTTGCAGACGCATCTTGAAAAGAGCGTCCTGTCGCAATTGCCTTATACTTATCAGTCTATATTTCAGCAGTCTGTAATTAATGATGAGACGGACATGGGTACGGACTCACATTATTTTAATTAGTCACGTTATCTTTTTTCAGATTTTGGTGATGCATCTCTGTTTTTTTCCCTTGTATGTGAATGTGTTATGGGAACAGTTGTATCATTTTCTGCGAACTATTTATCCTTGACCCAAAATCAATTCAAAATAAGGTGCTCAGTGCTGTGGTTATTTTTTGAATTTTTCATTCCAAGATATCTAGTTGTGTGGTGACCTTTTGTACAATTTACCTGAGAGGTTTAGATTTTCTGATCTAGTTTGGCAGATTCATATAACTTGCAGCGGAACTATTTTAAAGTTTGATGTGATTAGTGTTTGGAATTGTGCTAATAGAAACTTGTAAAATGTGATACTGTGCATTTGCATGCTGTGAGGGAACCAGTGACAAGCTAGTGTATGGGGCTGAGAATTTGTTCCAAATTCTTCTGAACTATTTGCCCTCTAAACCCTAAACCCTTTTTATCAGAAAACAATGCAATAGTTTGTTTGACAACTTGAAATGCTTAGCTTCCCATGTAGTCCTGGTCTGTCTCATCTTGGATGAGTTCTTAATGCTCTTGGTGTCTTGATCTAACTCCATAGAATTATCTTCACACTTCACATTGCTTCTTCTACAATCATTTTTGTGTACTATTTCTTCTAGACATATGTTTTTCATTATGCATATGGTAGGCAATTTGTAGATTGGACATGTGAACTCAAATAGTGTTCTGTATATGTTTGACTTCCAGTGGCAAAACCGCAATTGGACACATTTGTTGTCTGCAAAACCAAGTATTATCTTGGACATATCCAGCTTGAGGACAATGCAGATGGAGAACCAGATGGCAGGTAACTTATTATTCATAAACATTTACTTTCATAGAAAATGTTTGTATTCTTCTTTTTTGCTTACTGGTTTCAGTTCACCATATGACAGTGGGAGCCAGAAACCACTGGAGGAGCCTTTTGAGATGGAGCCCAATGTTTTATACTTTGTACGTTATAAAGCAGTGAAGAAATTTGTAGAGGAAGGGAAGATTGATTTATACTGAGTATCCAGCATCTTGGGGTAAATAGCTTTGAGACCTCCTCTATCTCAAAATATGATGTCATTGTATCTCCCCACCTTTTGCCTTACCGGTTTCTTGAGAAACTATTAACATGGCAAGTCATGGGAGTGAGTTTCCGAGCAACATTGAATTGAATGGTTTTCTATCTACGTTTCTTTTAGGTAAAAGTCATTTTTGGTCTATGTAGTTTGTCAATTTTACCACTTTGGTCTCCATAGTTTTAATTGTCAATTTTGTCCCCGTAATTTTTCAATTTTGTAAATTTTATCCGTGTAGTTTTCAATTCAAAGCAATTCAAGGACCCGTTTGAGTTTCTATTAAAATTTCTCCAAATTCCATTAAGTTTTGACCACTTGCACTTCATGTATGGTGGTATTTTGGTCCACTTGAGCCAAATTCGTCCCAGTTCAATCAAATTGTGACCCTGTGATGCAAAAAAATTTGAAACCCAAAGCCCCAAAAATGGCTCCTAAAGTGAATTGGAAGAGCTTCATCTTGTGTTTTATAGTTAGATGGGCTTGAGTGAATTGAAATACCCCTCCACCTCCACGTGAGGGGCATGTGGTCAAAATGTAATGGAATTTGGCAGAATTCAATATAAATTGAAATGTGTCTTTGAATTGCTCTAAATGGAAACTACAATGATAAAATTGAAACTATAGAGGCTAAAGTGGTAAAATTGACAAACTACAAAGATCAAAAGTGAATTTTTGCCTTTTTCTATTTTTTAAAATATAATCGATAATTTAAACTGCAAGGAAAGAGGAACACATCGTATCAGGTATCAAGTGCCATCTTTAGTAGAAGAAAAGAACAAATATGCTAATATGCTGATATGGAATCTGTACTGTAGTATGTGCTTAATATGCCACGATGTCTTTAGAAGAAAATATCGCACAATGTGATAAAAGGAAATCCAAAAGATTCCCTGCATGTGATATGCGTCTATGGAGCCAAGTGCTAACAAACAAAACAAACACGCATTCAAACAAACCCGACGGAAACGAAACAGGACCCAATCCCATACAAATTTTTGCTCTGGCATCACTCACTTTATTCGAATTCAAACAAAACCATAATTTTGTTTCCCACCACCTCGGATTGCCTGGGAAATATCAAATAAAATCCTCCTTGTAAATAATTAATAAAACAATAATTAAGACTTGGCAACTGGCCTACGACTCAATGAGAGGACAAAGTCTCTAGCTAGCCGACATGATCAACGGCCAAGATCTTGAGCAAGCCAGCATAAGACACGCCTTGGTTGTCATCGCCGCCGCCCAATATAATCATGGCCTTGATGTCTTCATCAGTGGCGGCGAAGCCTGCAGCGCTCATGTAGCTCTTCAAATCCTCATGGCCAAGCTTCCCATCCCCGTCCTTGTCCATAATCTTAAACGCTTCCTCCATCACTCCCCCCGAGCTTCTTGCACCCCCGCCGCCTCCCAAAACGCGCTCAAACTCGTCGTATTGGACGAAGCCGTCCTTGTTGGAATCGGCGGCCGACATCATCGATCCGATGAGATTTTCGTCGGGGCCTGAGCTGGAAAATCCGGCGTAGAAGGCTCGGAGATCGTCTTTGCTGATCTTGCCGTCGCGGTCGGAGTCGAGGACGTCGAAGGCTGGCTTGAAATCTGAGGTCATGGTCGTCGTCGTGGCGGTCTCTGCGCAGAGGGTGCGGCCAGAGGGACACATTGTGATGCTAATTGCGGCGTGTGGTTGGTGTTTAGAAACGAAGAATCGAGTCGTAGACTGGCTCGTATGGAGGAAAATTATTGATCGAGCTGCAGAAGAGAGGCCTTGTGGTATTTATAGATGGAAGGGAGGGGGGGCCCACAATGGCTTGGTTCACAAGGTTTTGATTGAGAGGCTACGTATGGAGTGACGTAGTTAAGAGTTTCGGGGTGGGGTAGCTAAGTTTTTCTCGTATGGGGGACTGAGACTGACTGGTAGGTTAGTCATTTAATATTGGTCTTTGACACACAGTCCATGGCCAAAAGGTATGCAGAACCAGCCAAGAACAAGGTGTCTGTATCTCCTCCATAACCATTAGTGTGGTTCAGCATCAATTCTATTCCATGACAACTTACTTATTCTTTACCAATTCAAAATTCTGTGCTGAGGCCGATATTTTGGCTCACATGAGTCATGATATGGTTCCTGGCTTTCATCGGTTTGAGCTGGCGCCTCCTTGCGTTTGTGATAGCCTTATTGCTGATGTTTGCAGCCTGGCTAGGCCTAGAGTAGTTGTTTAGTCCTTTCTGTTCTGGCCTTCTTGGCCCCATCTCACCCCCAACCAAAAAAAAATAATAATAAATAAATTCTGTGCTGAGAACACGACGTCACTAATCAAGTATCAAGATTTGAATTAGCATTTGGCATTTCGATACCAAATGCAAATATCTTTTATGCATTCCAATGGTATCTAATTCTCTCCACTGCTTTCACTCTAGGCAAACGCTCATCGTATAATTTATATTGTTACTTGGAATTGGTGCTACATGTCCAGATGCCAATCAAGTAATGAAGGTGTTAAATCTAATACACACTTGAAGAATTTAGAAATATCTAGAAAAATGTAGAAAACTCTAGAAAAGTTCTAATAACAATCTTGTAATAAGGTAATATTATATTGTGATGTAGCGGCTGCTATGAGAAGAAGCCAAATCCACCGACTTGGACAATGGCGGCAGCCTTAATCTATAAATAGGGGTTGTCTCTTGTGCAAGTGAGCTAAGAGAGAGAGAAGAGGCCAATAAGCCTAGCAAAAAGTTACTAGTTGTTGAAAGGCCAATAAGCCTAGTCCTCTATAAAGCCATGTACTCATCTATTGTTCAATAAATAAAATCACTATTTTGTTTTCTAAAAACCCAACAAGTGGTATTAGAGCAAAGTTCGATCATCTTGAGCATAAGAGTTCGATACAGTCCTCCATCATGTCTACCGCTAGCCAAACTTCTATCTCATTTCCAATCTTTTCTGGAGAAAACTATGATTTCTGGAGCATCAAAATGAAGACCTATTTTATGTCTCAAGATTTATGGGATATAGTTGATAGTTGCTTCAATAATCCAGAAAATTCAACTGTGAAATAGTTAAAGCAGCTAAAGAAAGATTAGCAGAAGGATACAAAGGCTCTATTTGCGTTGCAACAAGCTTTGGATGACAGTATTTTTCCAAGGATTATGGGAGCCACAACATCAAGGGAAGCATGAGATACTTTGAAGGAGGAGTTTCAAGGAAACGCCAAGGTACATGTGTTGAGGCCCAAAAAATTCAGGTTTAGGTCCAAATAAATTCCCGGCCCAGTGTGACACCTTATTAAGAAAAGACCTGGTTCGGAGCACGCAAAATTCATCATGCACGCTTGCACGAGTCATGATCACGTGTCATGCCAAATAAATATGCAATCTATCACGCTAAGAATTGAAATAAGCCTACAAAAGGCACTGGCTCTACAAGCCCATGCTAATTATCCCGCCAAGCATCATATCCATTTTCAAAGATGATAAAATTCAAGCACGTCAATCGACATGCAATGCCAAGTAGAAAATCATTATTTTTACACATAGCCATGCTACAAACTTAAGTGGGCCAAAGCCACGCAAATGCTCGGGATTTGCAGAGTGGTTGTGGTATAGATGGTAACGAGCTTTCATGAAGCTCATTGATGAGCTTAGAAATGGAAGTTCTGGGCTGCTTGGGAGTCCCAAAACTCGAGCTCATTTCTTGAGCGCAAATATGTGGGAAATGATAAGGAGAGAAATAGGTAGCCAATTACTTTAGAAAATTGGCACATCACCATAATTAAAATGGTACATCACTTTAGGAGGTTGACCCATTCCTTTAGTACACTAACCCATCACCTTAGGAAGGCCCAAATGACCAAGAAAATATCTGAAAGTCTCCAGCACATGACTGGAGACAAAACAACGACAGAAGCCAAAAGCCACTCACGAAGGTAGGCTGCTGGGAGGCTCCAACATGTGGCCAAAAGCAGAATTCAAAGTAGATCGTCCAAAAAACCAAAGGGTATTAGCGCGCGCAGGTTGCTAGGAGAAAAGGCACCCTTCAAACCAATGCCCTTACCTTTTTTTTTTTTTTTTTGGGAGACTTTAGAAAAACTCAAAGGAGAGAGAAATTTTGTAAAAGAAGTCAAAATGGACAAAATTGCCCTTATTTATTTTTTGATTTCCTAAGGAATCCTTTATATTTGCATGTCTTTGATTTTAAAGTTGAGAGGTTTTTCTGTCTTTTTTGAAAAAGCTTTGGTTTTTTCCAAAAGTGAAATTTTTTTTATGGCTAAAACCTAAATTTACTTCTTTTTTTTTTCTTCCACCAGCTCTTGCCATGGAAGAAGGGAGGAAAGAAGGTAAGGTGGTAGCCAAAAATAGGAGTTTAACACTGAAGCAGCTGCGGGAAGGCCTTAGAGCTCCCAAAAATCTTGTCTTTGTGTGTTTGGACAAAGGGAGATTTCACAAAATGGGATGAATCAAAAAGAGAGAAGAGAAATGAAAGGGAAGACTTGGCAAAATTGGAGAGAACCCATTAAGGTTTCTTGGGAAGGAGGAGCTTCCAGCGGCTATAAAAAGGACATCTTCTACCCATCAGAACCAACCAACATCCAGAGAGCAAGCTTCACCTTTCATCCTTAGAACCTTCAATTTCGAGCCATATTCCTCCATCTCTCCCCATCCTCTCCTCTGGCAAGCCATTCCAAAGCATGAGGAGCTGTTGGAAAATTACCCAAAGCATCCATTCTTCCACCCTAACCTCTGTCTTTCTCTCTCCTCAGCAAATTCTCACGAAATCCTTTGCTTTAAACCTCTATTTCTTGTAGAAAATCAGGTCTTTCTCTCTCTCTCTCTCTCATGCTAAACTCATAAATGCTTAGCTTCCATGTCACAAGCCTCTCAAGTCAAGCCAAAAATTTATCTGTAAACAACTGTTGGTTTCATTGGTGAAGAAGACCAATGTGTTTTATAAGGCTCATCTACCCTTTTGAAGTTCTCTTGAGGTCTAATTCTTGAACTTAGACCTAAGAGCAATTTCACACATGTGGCTCTTTACAACAGCCTAAGCCCATCAATAGCTACCGGAACGAAAAAGCCCCTACAATGTGTAGTTAAACTACAAACTTTGAGAAGAGATTTTGAAAACATTAAAATGAAAGATTCTGAAACCACACAAGAGTACTATGCTTTAGTGAAAGAAATAATCAATCAATTAAGAGCCTATGGAGAAAAAAATTATGATTCAAGAATTGTAGTAAAAAAATACTTATCAGTCTCACTAATAAGTATGATCCACTAGTAACTGCCATTGAACAGACAAAAGATATAACTAGTCTGTCAGTGACAAAATTAAAGGACTCTCTGGAAGCATATGAAAAAAGACTGAGTGGGCAAAATGAAAGTCTTGTAAAAAGTGCCTTCCAGTCAAAACTAAATTTAAGGTCTTAGAAGTCTAAAGATGATGAAAAAACTAGAGAAGTAGAAAATGAACCCAACAATAATTGGGAAAATAAAAGAGAAACTGCAGGGAGGAAAGACTATCCTCCGTGTCGGGTATGCAAAAAGACAAGCCACCAAGAGAAAGATTGTTGGTACCGAGGCATACCAAAATGCTGGAACTGCAGAAGATTTGGGCATATAGAAAAAGATTGTCGATTCAAGAAAAACTATCAAGCTAACTACACAAAAGAAAATGATAAGTACGAATATGTGTTCTATGCATGTCCAGCACTATCAGAAAAAGACAACACAAATTGGCATATCAATAGCAATGGCAATGACCGGAAGATAGAGACTGCAGCTCAATTATCAGCAAAAGCAAAAAATATGGCATCAACAAGATCAGAATATCTAGCAATATAGCTCTAAGTGTGCATTAAGGAGGAGTGTTAAATTTAATACACCACTTGAAGGATTTAGAAATTTCTAGAAAAAAAAAGTAGAAACTCTAGAAAAGTTCTAATAAAAATCTTGTAATAAGGTAATATTATATTGTAAAGTAGTGGCTATGAGAAGAAGCCAAGTACAATGGCGGCAGCCTTAATCTATAAATAGGTGTTGTCTCTTGTACAAGTGAGCTAAGAGAGAGATGAGGCCAATAAGCCTAGCCAATAAGCCTAATCCTCTATAAAGCCTTGTACCCATCTATGTTTGAATAAATAAAATCACTCTTTTGTTCTCTAAAAACCCAACAGAAAGCATGCTGGTTCTGGGAAGAGTGTCTTTTGAATTTCTGTGACACAGAGTTACCCTTATGACTATGGTCAAGGGTTTCATTGCAGTTTGAAACTGAGCAAAAAGAGCCTACTGACTATGGGACGAGATACACTTGCACGAAAACAAGGATATTATTGTTTTGCTATCCCTGACTAATAACGCTATAATATACATAATAACTTTTTCATATGATATAGCATTATTAACTGAGATTAACAAAATAGTGTTATTTCCCAATGCAATCAAAACTTTCTACAATGGGACATGTAATGGCTTGGCCCTTAAGTGAGATGCCTATGCAGAACGATTTTTGGGTTTTCTTCCCCCTTTTTCTCTTTGGGCCCATGAGGCCAGGGAAGGTTTGGGTTTGTGGTTCATTCATTTGGGTTGTTCATGTTGGATGCAAACGAGCCGAAACAATGGCAAATTCGTAATATCATTGATATGAATGGGCTTCTCATAAACCTCAAATATTTCATGGGCGAAAACCCTAATTCTAAATTCCGGTATTTAAACACAACCACGCCTAACAAACACCAGTAGCCTTAGGTCGCAACCTCCCTGCGTCTTCTT